AATAAAGAAGAGATCTGTTTGTCAGTCAATTCCGACCTACTCAATCTCCTTAGCTTTGTGAACGAGGGGGAGAGAAAGGGCCAGGGTCAGCTTTCTGTAAATCTTCTGATGAAATGTTGACAAAACAGCCAATTTTCTGTAATTTTGCTGCAGCCTTCTTTCAGCAGCTTACTCACTCAGAACCCCTTCATTTCAAACAGCAGCACACTGCGACCTCTGACATGTATCTCGTCCCTGACTTCTCTGGCCTGGCAGAAAGACGTAACAGTTGTGCCTTTTAGGTCAGGTGGATGCCGTTTAAGAAGCCAGCTTCATAAAGGAAGCCTTTGTTTCTCAACCAGGCTCTCTTGGGCCCCAGTAAAAGGATAAGAAATGTAGTTAATAGCTCAGGAGTGGCCTAATCATCAGCTGCCATTACTGCTCCAATATGAGCCGAGATGACAGACTTATCAATAACAAAAGCCCAGCTGAAGCTTCCACTGCTCTGTCATTTTGATCTTTGCTCCACTAATCAGAGCTTTCATTTGAGCTAAGCACCGGGCAGCACACCTCTCATTCTCTTCATGCTGTGCCAGATATCACTCATCTTTACAAGCCACTCTGTATTCCCTCAACCCCAGGCCACCATTTCCACAAATTGGCTTAATTTCTCAGGCAAATATATGACACATCTGAGAGCTCATTAGCCTTGCAATGCTTGTGATTATTGTACTTACTGGTAAAACTCTCATAGCTTCTGAGGTTTTGTCTTGAATGGCTTTGGTTGGAGCCCAGCTGATTTTCAAAATGAAATGAAGATATGCCAAACTGACTGCCGTTGTGTATGTAAATATTTTATGAGCTTTTGCTTTAATAGTGCACTTCCAAAAACACAAAAGGATTTTGGGCTATGATGTTTTTATTGTTTGTCCAACAAAAAGCATTGAATATGTCGCAGCACTGTCATATGTGTTGCAAGAACAACAGCTGTGTTAACAAAAGGGTGTCAATCAATACATAACTTTCTGTGTCATTACCTTCAGAGTGCACATTACTCTCATGCAGAATGCTACATATCCCAAAGATGATGATGTGCATGATTTTTAATAGTAATATAAAACGTCAATATTTCTGTTGTTCATTCGTCCATGAAAAGCTCCTCCAACAAGGAGAAACCTGAGAGGGTCAAAGCGGTGCTCCCGCACCTGGACGAGCTGGCCCTTTCATTTACAGTCATGGGGAGGATCAGGCACTGACTGACTCAGACACCTGCTATTGAGAAATATGTTCTCCATCAGTGAGCTACAAACTATTTCTGGATAGCAGCACTGAGACCATTGTTCTCCCCAGCACCGACAGCCAAGGTATTCTGGAACTCTTGGCACACATGGTAAACAATGTGTTACTCATATTAATCTTAACAATTGAGCTACTTATTTAATAAACACACTGTGGTTAGAGTGGTATTTGTTCTCTGTTTCATAATTGTTTGTTAAATTTTAATATTGCAGCAAAACTGCAAACATTACATAGATGATGCTTTTTAAATAATTGTAAATAATAGAACAAATCAAAGAAACTAAAGATAAGAGTTATTAATAACCTATTTAGTATTGTTAGTCCTAACAGAAAAAATACCACAATCACACTAATTTCATTTTCAGACATAAATACCTATCTTTCATATTAAGATGAAACTATGGTCTCGGGCTTGGTATAAAACAGTGGAGCTCCTTATTCCCTCAGTTTGATACATGATATGTGCTCTTAAAACAAATCATCTGGTTTCTGCTCCTATACAGTTTTATAGAAGGGCAGGGGGTTTGGGGATTTTGCAGTGTCACCTGGGATTAAAAAGGAGGAGCACATCAGAGCCCCAGGCCACACCACCTGGAGCCCCTATACCATTCTGGCGCTGCACCACTCAAAACCAGCTCCATTAGCTTACTGCCAAATAATTCTGGTCAACCAAATGACACTGAGCTAACAAAGCCCCGTTTCAGAAAAGATTACAACTCTAACAGGAAACCCTTTGATTATGAGTTTGTTTGGAATGCTATCAATACCACGATCACTCCTGCAGATCAACAAGGCCATCTCTAATCACCATACTTTGGCTGCACCTTCATCTGTGCTAGAATAGAGCAGTGACTTGTTTAACAAGAAGCACGTGCAATGACAAAGCGATTTCTTTCTCTACCTTGAACACCCACCTGCACACAGATTCGGTCAGATATTCACCTGAGCTGCCAACCTGTCACTTGTTCTCAATAAAAAAAAGAAACACACACAGGTCACATTCATTCCTCTTCTGTACAAATACTGCAAATAAAGTGCTCCTAACAGAAACCAGCAGACAAGATTTTGCCTGTCTCATTCACCAACAGATAAACAGACACCATAAAAATTATCCAAAAAAAAAAGGTACAACACGATTCAGTATAATCTGCCACTTGCAGATGGTATATAAGATTATATCCAGAGCTCTACAGTATACATAGCAGAGATGAATACAGCAGACAAACCTCTTTGTCTACACTGGGGGACGGTCAAACATTAAAGAGCTAATTTTAAGTTCTATTTTCTTCAGATCCTACATGAAAGTTAGGCTTACAGCATTTTCCACTGTTATTTTTGTAGATGTACTGGACTAATGTGGGGAAACTATGTAGAGGATAAGACATTTATTTCTGCTGTGTTCAGGAAAAACCTGGATATTTCTCAAAGCTTATCATTAAATCATGCAGTTGTTTCACATTTTTCTTCATTTACCTGTTATTCACCTCTTAAGCTTAGTTATATAATTTATAATCTAATTTACTGTATAATGCATCTAAGTGGTTGAATATCATATTTTCCTCATAATGCGCATCTCAACCTTTTTAGACTGTATTCTAATAAAAGGGAGGAAAGAAATGCAAAATTGAGATTTTATTATCAATGTAGTCTCTGGCGTCCCCTTGTGGTGTGTATATAAAACTGTATGAATTCATTTGAGTTCACAGGAACAGATTATCCAACTCATTCAAAGAAAAACCTTTATTAAACTTAGCAAATAGGTGAAAATTACAGTAAAATAAAATGTGACTATAAAAGCTTCTAATGAGTTCAGAGCTGACCAGTGCCATTTAAATTGTTAGGTCACACAACTCAGCTCAGCTGATTTGTAGGCTATTGTTTATTCAGTGGGCGCAGTATCACAGTCCTTGTCTCCGGCTGACCATCTAATGGTACCTTCTTTTTGTAGGCTAAATGGGCTAAATGAAGTAACAAGAAGAATAAAATCGGTGTACATCATTAAGACAATATAAATGTTGCCAATGCCAACTTTTTAGAAAAACCTCTCTCTTTCTTTTTCTCTTTCTCTGTGCATTTATATGGCCATTAGTGTGAGGACAGGGTTGAGTTTGAGACCATGGGTGGGGGGTGTCTTCTGTTAAAGTGAATAAGTATTGAGCAATGCCATTTCAGTTTAAAACGAATAAGCTATAGTGTTACAAGATGTACAACATTTACAAAACTGAAGAGCGATACACTAAATATCGTATTTAGTGCTCCCTCCCACTGTCATAAAGTTGAAATAGATAAGAGTATAGCCACTCTATGTATTGAAAATAATATGAGACCAATTATATGCTACTTGACGTTTAGTTTTGCGTTTAATCCTGTGTCCTCCATCACATGTATATTAAGTAGGTGATGTCTCTCTACATAACGCTGACATGTACAAGGGAGGGGCTGCTGTAAAACACAATGATAGAATGAATGCAAAGAGCCATATGAGCACTTCCTGTTGATGCAAAAATTGCAGCAGCAACTGTCTGACACATCTGGACTGGAGAGGGGGGGAGGCCTGGCTGTAGTGTTTGCGAACTACTGAGAGGAATGGACAACGTCTAATGATATTCTGCAAGACGGTTAGTTTGGTGGACCTAAACGTTGGCTTGTACTTGTGGGAGCCTGTACTTTTACGGTATAATGGGAAAATAATTGTCTGCGACCGTACGTAAGTAGTTGCTAGCTAGCGTTAGCCGCTACTTAGCCTTGGCTGACAAGGAATGGATGCTAGCTCAGATAACGTGAGGTTAACTGGTAGCATAAACTAGCTAGCTAGCATTGTAGCTGCGATAGTCGACAGTTTGTAATGTTACCCGCGTTCGAGGTTGCATTGGATACTAAACTATACAATACTGTCAAGCGTTTGTATAATCAGAGCAGACGTGATTGAATCGTAAAATATCCGTCCTCTATGTAACATTGAAGTCTGTGTGAAAGTGAGACATTTTTCTCAATTCTAGGCTACGCTAGCTAATAAAGCTAATGCTAACAGCCCCGTAGATAGCCCCCAGTTCAGTGGCCAACGAACTACTAACAGAATGGTTTGCAATAAAGTTTGAGACCCATTAGCTCCCTAGTGTATCGTTATTGAATGCATGAAGAAGTGGCTCAAGACCATATTCTGATAGCCTCCACGATGAAGCTTACTCGTGTAATAGGACTGTGGAAAAAGTCAGTGTACTGAATGTATAGCTTGGAATAATAAGCCCTATTTGCGCTGTTCGTTAACGGGGCTACATTAAGTCCGTACGTATTCATTGCATCTGAAACTAACATTAACGTGGACCTACAATGGTTTTTGTAGAAAAACGGATGAACGGAAAGACGAAAGATAATAATATTGACTAAGAGCTTGATAACAATTATTGCACTTGTAAACTCATTGTACGTGATTTTATTGTAGGAACGGACAAAGTGCAGGGAGATAGATGGTTATTAACTACAATTAGTTTCACCACATTCCTGTTCTCCTGCATTACAAGCCTACTTAGAAACTAACAACTCTAGTTATTCCCGGACAGCTGCATTTGTAACTGGTCCAAATATTTAAATTCTAAGGCGTGTCAGAACAGAGTCGAGCCAAAGCAATTATGACTTTTGCATTAGTAGATATTATATTATATTTCTGTTTGAGAAAGACAGTTAAACTGCATTATTTTAAACCACCAGCTGAAATGAGTGACTGTGTAATACAGGAGTGTAAACTGATGTCCAGTGAAGACTGTGAGGTCTTTTGTGGTAATGTAAGAATTGTTGACATAAGAGTGCAGTGGCTATTGTTTGTAGTAACTTTTACCTTGCTATGATCTGTCAGACTGCAAGGAGTATTACTTTTATGTCATACTCTAATATTTATCACTTGTATATTGATATAAACGTCACCTTTTTACCAACGTTTTCCAAGTCAAAAGGTCAGCGGTGGCAGTAATAACAACCTGTCAGGTGTACTGTAATTGTAACAGTCTTATCATATATCATAGTGGCTTGAGGTGCAAAGAAAAGAGTAGTAGGATGATATCCTATCCAGAGTCAATATTGTTATAGATCAGTTAGGTTCCCTTTCAAGTGGTTACTCTGAATGCCAGTTGTTGCTTGTAGTGAGTGCAGATGTGGTAAACAAGAAGCTATTCAATGACTGTCCTTGTCATATTTTTCCCCATTAAAATTTCAAAACGTACCTACAATCCAGATCAGTGTTTCTCAACTGGTGTCACCCTGGGACCCACTTTCCAACCCACTTGTCAAGTCGCGACCCACCAGTACCAGATTTCAAATAAATTTATTAAATTATAAATCATTTTTTAAAAACATAGTTAGTACAGCCTTTGTGTCAGATTTTTCTGTTTACATTGAGGAAATGTTACTCAACATAAATACAACAGTCGAATAACACAACAGGGTGCTGTCTGTGTATAAAACTGAATGCAGAACTGCAAACACAACATGATAATACCTCATAGTCTCTTTTCACTTAACATGTAAGCAAAATTTTATTTTACAGTGAACTAATGAGATAGCTGTAGTTGTCCTTTAGTTTTCACAAGACTTTCAATGTCTGGGCTGACAGTAGACAGAGCTGCTCTCAGATCATGTTCAGTGTCCAAACTGTTCCTTTGCTTTGATTTGAGCTGTACCAAAGTGGAGAAGCCACTTTAACACAGAGAGGTTGTTGTAAACGGTAGAATTGCATTGACTGCCAATGTAGCGAGGGAGGGATACTCAGACATCGTGTATTTGCACCAGAAATGGAGGAGCTTTGCCTCATCAAATTTCTTTCTCAGTGTCTGGTCACATGACAGCTCGACCAGCTGATTCTCCTTGCTGCTTGGCAACACAACGCTTTCCATGTTGATTCCATGTGTAGGTGTCCACATACTTACAGATTGCACTGTTTCTGGTAGTTTTTTAATCCTTGACTAGCACAGTGTCACTAAAATGGCTTGACCAACTTAACTTTACTCACATTTTTCACAGTGCGTGCTATTCTTATACTAGCACAGTAGATCACACCCCCTCTTAATGTATCAAAATCTAGTCTGTTTTTGTATTGTGTTTTTACTCTCTGTTTTAAATTGCTCTCCTAATCTTTGCTTGTTAAGCAGTTCTGCTCTGGTTCTGGTCTGCCTCACAGGCTGTTTTGCAAAGTAGGTTAAATGCTGCTGATGTTGAAGAAAGCATACAGTGCTCACTTGCTGACTTTGACTTTTTTTGTTCTAATGTTTTTGAGTGATGTGCCAAAGTTATAACCTCTGAGAACTTTGGTATATTGTCTTTCCAATAGAGTTCTGCTGATCTTTTAGACAGTCATACCATCACAGTGTACCCAGCATCTTTTCTACCTACCTACACAAAGCAGCTGTGTCCAAAAAGTTTATTACCAGGCAGAGAGTTTGAGCAGCACTTGGAATTTTTGAGCCGAGTTAAAACATTTTTGGTTTTCCTCACGTGAGCCAGGCATGTGACCTTCATCCAGCATGTGTCTCAACTACTGAGCACGCATTCTTTGCAACACAACCCCAGAGCATGATAGATCCACCCCCATGCTTAATAGTTGGCAAGGTGTTCTTTTCATGAAATGCTGCTCCTTTTTTTCTCCAAACATGCCTTTGCTGATTGTGTCCAAAGAGTTCTATTTTAACTTCATCAGTCCACAGCACTTGTTTCCAAAACGCATCGGGCTTCTGTAGATGTCCTGTTGCATACTTCAGACGTTGGATTTTATGATGGGGACGCAGATAAGGTTTTCTTCTGCTGACTCTTCCATGAAGGCCTTGTCTGTGCAAGCATCGCTGCACAGTGGAACGGTGCACCACCACTCCTGAGTCTGCTAAATCTTCCTGCAGGTTTTTTGCAGTCAAATGGGGGTTTTGATTTGTCTTTCTGACCAGCATACGAGCAGTTCTGTCCGAGAGTTTTCTTGGTCTTCCAGATCTCATCTTGACCTCCACAGTTCCCCTGATCTGCCATCTCTTATTTACATTTCTTACTGTGGAAACTGCAAGCTGACAACGCTTTGCTATCTTCTTGTAGCCTTCTCCTGCATTGTGGGCGTCAATAACTTTCATTTTCAGGGTCTTACACAGCTGCTTAGAGGAACCCATGGTTGCTGGGTGTCCACAAGTGTGTGCACAAGGTTTGAAGAGTCAAAGTATTTGTACAGCTTTGAAATTGGCATTTACCAATGACAGCTGTTGCTGTGCATCAGATCTAACGAGCTGATTAAGGTCTGATACCTTGTGAGAGACTTTGAGACTCTGGAACTCTTAGGGTGCCCAAACTTTTGCACCATGCCATAATCATGTTTTTATTTTTTATTTTTGTTCAATTTATGGCATAAGAAGTAACTATGCATCACTGTTTGCAGAAAATATTGTGCATTTTTTCCATTTCCAAGAGAAACTGTGTTAACATCTGTTCAAATAAAAAATCACCAAAATCTGTTATTTATCAAGGGGTGCCTAAACTTTTGCATAAGACTGTATATATATACACATATACATATATATGCTGCTGGCAGCCAGCAGTGATGTCTTAGTGTATGAACACATTCTTTCATATGCTCACCTTCTGATATTCTGCGTCTTTCCCTCTCCTGTGCCAGGGTGAGAACATATGGTTTGTTGGACAGGTGTCTTGGCGAGCCTTGGCAACTGGAGAAAGTGTGTACATTCTCAAAGTGCTGATGGTTGTTCAGTTCATGGAAGATCATGCTGAATTGCCAGCGAGGGGCTGGAGGGGAGGAGGAAATGGTGCAGAGGGAGAGATGGGAGTAGAGCAGATGGAGTCGGGGGAGAGGAGGGTTAAGCTGGAGAAGTGACACATACTAAGGTTTTACAGCAAGGAAGTATGTAACACAGAATCACACAGTAGGTACAGAAGAATTTGATTTCATAGTAGCAGCATTCTAGTGTGTGGTTTAACAAGTTCTGAGAAGGCACGGCCTGTGTCTGCTAATATTTTGGCAACCAGCTCAAGCCAGTACAGTATATTGTTGTTTAAGGGTTGGTGCAGCAGTGGCTGTGTGGGTGTAAGGTGGGGGGATGGGGTTTGATCTGTCATTTTGCCAAAATATGTTTCAGTCAAAGCTTGAAAGTTACAACTAGTGCACTAGGAAATGTCATAATTCAAGAAGAGACAGTTGCCATGTGTTTTTGCAAGAATGAGAGGAATAACAAGCATTATCCAAAAGTTTGCAGTTACTGTAAAAGCAGGTGGTTCAGTGTTGTTACTGATGCTCCTTCAAATATATCAGAGAACCCACAAAGAAAGGCGATGCAAGAGAGGCCTCAAGAATGTTCATCTTCCAGGCAGAGCCAGATTTTCTTCTTTCTCAGCCAAATATGTATACATACATGTCTTCTCTTTTATGACTGTTACAGTATGCGTCACCACACACTGGTATGCTGTTTCCTATAAGTTGCAGTTATTTTATCTACTTTGCTTTCAATTTTGTTTGTAGC